TTACGTAATATACGCTTTTTTACCTGAAATGTATACAATTCACTATTAAAGCCCATAATTCATTAATTAATCACAATATATCATTGGAATATCATCAAGTAGAAGCATAAACAATAGCTAAATCACCCAGATTTCGCTTATTATCAGAGACCTTGGAAGAGGAGGGAAGAGGATGAGAGGAAGAGACAGAGGAACAAACATAATCTTTGAGATAGGAATGTTGATGGACTGTTCTGGTTGATTTTCTCAAAAGTGGAGGAGAAGGAATAATATGAGAAGAATCAGTTATAGGAGGAGGAGAAAGAGGTGAGGGAATAGGGGAATCTGGAGATGTGGAAACATCAGGAGTAGGAGAAGGCGTAGAGGAGGAGGAAGAATCTACAAAGTCTGAAATAGAGGAAGGGGGAAAGATAGAAGGGTGATCAGACTTGTAGGGAAATATATTTTCATGAAAAACCACATCTCTAGAAAAGAAAATGGAATGAGTAGTAAGGTTAAGAAGTTTGTAACCCTTTTTACCAAAGGGGTACCCAAAAAATATAGAGTGAATAGCTCTAGCCTGGAATTTCTCTCTGCCAAACTTAGGTGAAGTAGCAAAGCATAAACAAACAAAAGACTTTAAGTGATCATAAAGTGGAGGAAGACCATGGAGTTTTTCATAAGGAGAGACACCCTTCAAAACAACAGAAGGAAGTCTATGATGAGGTAAGTGGCAGTCAGAACACATTCACCCCAATATTTGAGGGGAAGGATAGACTGAAAAAGAAGAGCCCTAGAGATTTCCAATAAGTGTTTGTGTTTCCTTTCAACCACCCCATTTTGTTGAGGGGTGTGAGGAATAGAGGTCTGATGGAGAATGCCTTGGCTTGAGAAGAACTTGGCGGCTTCAGAACTTCCACCAAGTTCAAAAGCATTGTCAGACCTAAAGGTTTGGACAGATGATTTAAAATGAACTTTAATCATAATAGTAAAGGCTTTAAGGACAGAAAGAGCATTGCTCTTGCAGGAAAGGAGATGGGTCCATGTGACTCTAGTGTAATCATCAACCAAAGTTAAAAAATATCTGAAACCATGGTAAGTTCTAGTGTTATATGGACCCCAAATGTCAATGTGTACTAGTTGAAAAGGAGAAGAAGAGTGTATAACACTCTAAGGAAAAGGTAATCTCTGTTGTCTTACTAGAGGACATACAGGACACATGAAATTTTGTTTGGAAGACACTTTATCAGATAAGAAAGAAATAGTTTTCATTCTATGATAAGGCATGTGCCCTAATCTTTGATGCCAAAACAAGTCCAATTTATTAAGGCAATGAAATTGATTACAATCAGGAGTACCATTAACATGTGTAACAACATGACTGGACTTATCAGATACAATGAAATAGAAGAAGGTAAATCACTAGAAGTAGAAACAGAACTAGGTAAACTACTAGAAGAAACATTCAGAGAATCAGATGGAACAGGAAAGAGATCACCATCTGGATGGAGGTAGTACAGCCTGCCTGCAGCTTTACCAATTTCCAGTGGCCTCTTTAGAGAAGGGCCCTGTAAAGAATAAATTGTTTTGGTAAAAAGTGCTGAACAATCTAGCTAACATATAAGCTGATGAACTGATATCAAATTGAAGTGAAAAGATGGCACCAAAAGAACATGAAGTAAAATTATATCATGCCTAAGATACAAAGATCCAGTTGATACAACTTTAGCTTTATATCCATTAGGTAGGGTGACAAGGAAAGGCTTGATTAATGGTTGGACATTAAAAAGAAGATGTTTATGTGGAGTCATGTGATTTGTAGCCCCTGCATCTAAGATCCAAGGGTTGACACCTAATTGAGAAGATGTACACACATGAGAAACCTCAGAATCTATAACATACTTACTAAACAAACATGCAAAGTGTGCAAAAGTAGATTGATCCACATTGGAGGCATCAGGTGTGGAAATGTTTGACATCTGAACTTGTTGGAACAAGGTCAACAGGTGTTGATACTGCTCCTTGGTAAACCTATAGGCTGAAGAATCAGCATGCTGAGAAGTAGTAGTGACAGCAGTGGTGGATGGACTTTTAGTCTGAACACAAGAAGCATATTTCTTACTCTTGGTGAACTTGAAATCAGTAGGGAACCCATGAAGTCTGTAGCACTTGTCTACAGTGTGGCCAGGCTTCTTGCAATATTTGCAAGAGACATTTGGAGCAGCTTTCTTGGCCTCAAAATTCACCTTTTGACTGAAAGGCCTATTTGTAGTAGAAGCACTAGGAGACACCAAGAAAGAGGTAGCATCACTAGAGAAGTTAGGAGCAGTAGAGTGAGCTTCCCTTTGACTCTCATCTTGTTGTAAAAGACTATAGGCCTTGATTATTTATGGGAGAGGATTCATTAACATGATGACGCTTTTAATAGTTGCGTATGAATCATTTAGACCATTGAGAAACTGAAACAACTGCTGGTCCTCTATGAATTTAGGCAATGCACCACATGAACAAGTAGGACCTACATATGAAGAGTTCAGCTCATCCCACAAACTCCTCATCTTTGTGACGTAAGAGGCTATATCAGATGAGCCTTGAGTAGTAGAGCTGATTTCCCTTTGTATTTGAATGTATTTAGACCCGTTTGACTGACCAAACCTTTCATTTATATCTTTCCAAACTTCCTTAGCAGTTCTAAAACACATTACACTAACAGCTATTTCTCCAGATACTGAGTTAGTTATCCAGGCTTTGACCATATCATTGCACCTTTCCCAATATGGGTAATAAGGAGATTCAGGAGTGGGTTGATTGACTCTGCCATCTAATAGGCTGAGTTTATTCTTTGCAGAAAAGGAAGTGAGCATACTATTACGCCATAACACAAACCCACAACCATTGAATGGAACGGATACCAGTTGACTTCTAGGATTATCCGAGGGATGAATATAGAATGGATGTGAAGAATCTAGGGAAAACGGAACAAAACCGTTGGAAGTTGAAGAAGAATTAACTTCATCTACTACAGTACCCATTTTCAGCAGAAACTAAGTCTAATACTAAGAAATTATGATAGCATGTTGAAGTAATCAGAAACAAACTCAAATCAGGTACATGCAAAGAACACTAACATCAAAATTAACAGAATTTGTGATTAGGAGTGACAGAGATACCGTCCTTCTTCTGAAAACCCGAAGAAGTGAGGTCTTGTTTAGCCATGAACCCTAGGTAGAGAAATATAGCAGAGACTACTGTGTAGCTTGAATATTATCAACGATTCTCGCAATAGAAGTTGAAAATATGCGAAGATTGAATGAAACCCCAAAGTTTCACGAACAAATTCTGAAAATCGACGATCTGATACAATCCTTGACGATTTCAAACGAGGCTACCATCGGAAGAAAGGGTGTGACAAGAGGAATCTATATTCCCACTCTGATACCATGTTAAAATCCAAGCTCGATGGTTATGGTGGAAAGCAACAGAATAAAACCCTAGGAGGGTTGAGAGAAGAAGATGACTGAAATGAGTCGGTCAATCTTAATTGACCAAAAACTAAAACTTATTATTGAATAGTCTCTATTTATATTTACAAGTGTAAGAGACGAAAAATAAAATGTAATGTAAAATCTGAAAAATGAAAATATATAAGAATGTAAAAACTATATAAAAAGGCTTTCTCCTTTTCCTTAGCTGATTGGGCCTGTGACAGTTGGTCCTGAAATGTATCTGGGCTAACGCACCACTCCATGAAAACTTTCTGAGGCTTCCAAAATAATGTGCTCTATAAAATTACCCAGCATAAACAATGATACGCAAAAAAATATATATAACGGGTGGTGTCCAGATCCAATAGCGTACGTTTTTGTGANTTTATCCTTAATAATATTTTCTAATTCACAAAATACTTTTCCCAAAATAAATTTCTTGACTTTCACTTCATCCCATATTTGTTGTTAATTTTTTTCTTTACAAAGAAATTTTTAATTTATAATCTTCTCCAAAAAAAATCAATATTTTAGTCATTTTAAAAAAAAAAAGAATTGCTTATCAGCACTTTTTAATCAAATACATCAACTGCTTATTATCAGTTTCAGCAGTTCAAGCTTATCAGCTATTTACCATAACCTAATCCAAACGCGCTCTAATTTAAAAAAATCAAGAACTTTAATTAGGGAGAAATTCAAAAATAGCAAGATTTACAAGTGGCCATTGAAAAATTGCCACAGTTTCAAAAGTAATCGAATTTAACCACTTTTCATGTAAAGAGAAATCTGAACGAAAACATGTTCAAAATCCGGAAAATATTCCAGCATAATATACTGGAGTTCCAGTATAATATACCGGTCCAACATAATATGCTGGAAGTTCATACATAGGTGCTCCAATCTCCAGTTTATTATGCTGGAACTTTTCGCGTGTTGGAGTTCCAGCATAATATGCTGGAAGTTTAAACACAGGTGCACTAGTCTCCAGTATATTTTGCTGGAACTTTTCATGTTGCAACAAAGTAGTGGCTATTTTTCAATGACTTTGCAAACGCTGGCTATTTTTCAATTATCAGTCCGAAAACTGGCTAGCCGATGCTATTTTTACCCTTAATTACTACAACTTACTTCGACGAATTTTGTTTTTGACATTTATTCTTAGTAGTGCGTTTAAAAATATTAAATTGCTCTTTTTCTATATTGCTGGAGGTTTTGTATAGTGGTTAAAGCGATTTATACTCCTTATTTTTATAGTAACGGAACATATATTATAATAACTAGAAGTTGTTTAGCTTGTTACAAGTAGTTGGAAAATTACCACACATTGGTGGATTATAACAAGCAATATTTTGATTACCTAAAGTTCTAAGCATATTGCAAGCAGTAGTTGCTAAAGATTTTACAAAAAGACAAACTCCATTTTATTCCATCGTCAGTTGTTGCTTCACAAAAAGAGGTGGGGTTGCATGGAGTTTTGGATTGTCCGGACTAAGCTGCTTGAAGTTATTTTTTACTAGCGTCTTTATCTAGGAGATGCGCCACTTGAATGCCTTCACGAAAGTTATGTCGAAATAGGAGCTTCTTCTGCTGGTGCATTAATGATCTACATGCAAAAACAATGTTAGAACAAACTAAGTGTAATGACCCGACTGGTTGTTTTGCCTCTTAGGACCCCGTCCCCCTAAGTAAAACTCCATGCACTTGCTTTAACTAATTTACGACTCGTAGGGATGGTTGGTTCGGGAATTGGAAGAATTTGGGTTGAAATATACTCATTTGATTCCTTAGGATTTTCTTAAAAGGCTAAGTTTAACTTTGGTCAATATATTTAGCAAACGGACCCGGATTCATGTTTTGACAGTTCCGGAAGGTCCGTAGGAAAATATAGGACCTGGGTGTATGCCCGGAATCGGATTCCGAGGTCCCTAGGGCGAGTAATGAATTTTTAATTAGAAATTGTTAAACTGAAATTCTAAGGATTTAAAGAAACTAAATAATGATTGATCACATGGGTATTGGGCTCGTATGTTGGTTCCGGAGCTCGATACAGGTCGAATATAACATTTAAGACTTTTCCGCAAAATTTGGTGTCAATCTGAGTAGTTTAAGGGTGTTTCGACTCGTTAGAGGAAAAATTAAGATCTTGAAGTTCATAAGTTTGATTCAATTGGTTTTAGGGGGTGATTCCTAGATTTAGCGTTGTTTCGGGCATTCCAAAGGTTCGAGTAGGTCCGCTTCGTGATTTCAGATTTGTCGGTATGTTCGGGCGAGGCCCGGAAGCCCCGAGAGTCAATCGGACCAGGCTCGAGTGAAGTTGGAAATGGTGAGAAGTGCTGAAGCATCTGCTTTTGCCATAACAGCACCTGCGGTTGGTCGATCGCAGGTGCGAGATTGCAGAAGCGGTCCGGCTATCGCAGATGCGGCCAAGGTAGGCCAGGCCCAGAACCGCAGAAGCTGCTTCAAGACCGCCGAAGCGATCGCAACCCGCTTGGCCGGGTCCGCAGATGTGCCCAATTTCTCGCAGAAGCGAGACCGTAGATGCGGTCCCCTGACCGCAGATGCGGAAATCGCTGAAGCAGTGAGCCTCATTTAATATGGGTTCTAAGTCATATTTGCCACTTTTTACTCCTCCATTGGCGATTTTAGGAGCATTTTAGAGAAGACTTCCACCTAGCACCTTGAGGTAAGTTTATCCCACCTATTCTTAGTTTAATACTTGTGTCTTAGGTAGATTAAACAATAGGATTTAGGTAAAATCAAGGGGTTAGAGCAAAATCTAGGGTTTTAACAAAAGTTAGATTTAACTACGAAGTTTGTTATGAAACGAATTAGAAATCATATATTATTGATCCTTAGGTTATAGAGAACAACTTCCTTCGAAAACTTTTGGAATTCGGGCATGTGGGCCTGGGGTCGGATTTTAGAAAACTTGTGTCAAGGGTTCGAAAATTGCTTAAATAGCTAGAATATGATCTTGTGAGCTTATATTGACTAGTTCCTACCTCATTTAACTAGTTTTGGATCGTTCGGATCCAAATTGAGAGTTCGTGCTCGTTCTTGGTATTGGAAGTGCACTTTGGAGAGAGGTGAGTCTCTTTTCTAACCTTATAAGAGGGAATTGTGCCTAGAGGTGTAATAATTGAATAATTGCTACTAAATGCGGGGGCTATGTACACACTAGGTGACAAGAGTCCGTGCGTATCTACTATTATGTTAATTGTCCAGGTAGTCTAGGACTCGTACCATGCTATATTGTGAATGTCTCTATATTTTCTGCTAATGTGATCACTTAGGGTATGCTAGAGACTTGGAAAAGAATATAAGCAAATGCATACACTTGTTGGACACTTGTATGAATTTGTTTGAAAATAAATGCGCCTTCATGTGTTTTCTTGATATTAATTGATATTTGTGGATCGGGCTGATCACCTCGGTAGAAATAGATGCATCTATGGTTTGCGCCATTCGACCCTCTGGCAGTGCACAATTTATTCTCTGTTGGATTGGGCTGTCGACCTTGGCATAATATGCGCATGATATGTATGTGAAATCTTATCCATGACTTGTTGTTCTAAATATTTGAAATGTAAATGGCTAACTACAAAATGGTTAAGAACATGACTTATTACCTCTTGCTATAAACTGTTGATTAATTGTGACCCCCATGCTTAGCGTAACACTTTATTATATTATTTGACCTTAGTAAGTATCAAGTCGACCTCTCGTCTCTACTTCGTTGAGATTAGACGGGATACTTACGAGGTACATATTGTTTATGTACTCATACTATACTTCTGTACTTAATTGTACAGGATCTGAGGCAGGTACATCTGGCTACCAGTCTGGTGCACGCCCCTGATTCATAGTCCGAGACTTCCATGGTGAGCTGCCCCTTCTTGTGCTGTTCAGTAGCTTGATGGAGTCTTTCTTTACATTTGTTGTCTATTTTGTTTCGGATAGTAGGATAGTTGTATTCCTTTGTACATTCTGCTAGTTGTCCACTACTTGTGACACCAGGTCTTGGCACATACATTAACAGGCTTTTATTTTGGGGTTCACTATTGAAAAATTGGTCTACGGTAACGGTTGAAAAACCATTCCCACAGACCGCCAAACCGTTGCCATAGGGATATTGGAACGGTTTAAAAACCGTCACATCAGCCGGTGTACCCATAGGCCTACTGGAACGGTTCTTGCAACGGTTTGCATCGCCGTGACAATAGATACGTCTATTGCAACGGTTTTCCCTCTCTCTGTTGGAACGATTTTTTTCCAATTGGAACGGTTTAAAACCGTTACTGTATTGTTTATACAACGGTTTTTAACCGTTACCATATTATTAAAAGCAACACTTATGTAAGCTATTGCTATGGTTATGTTGGATATAGCCACGGTTTCTTTAGGCTATCGTAACGGTTATATTTGTATTTGGAACAGCTTATGGGACCTATTGCAACGGTTTACATTGTCTACTGGAACGCCATTAGTGTCCTATTGCAACGATTCTGGTAGGCTATTGTATCAGTTCAATTAAAACCAAAATATAGCACCTGTTATAAATAAATATTTATACATATAATAAATTATAATAACACTAAAATTTAAATACATCATAAAATGAAACTATTAATAATACAAAATTATCCATAAAACAAATAATATCCATAAAGCAAAAGTTCTACCACGTGAGTGCATAAGTTTAGTACATGTCAACAGAGTAATAAATTTCAAAAATGTTGTTAACAAAAGATTCCTAGAACATTCATCTATAACAATACAAAATTCTTTTCAAGTAAGGTCTAGTTCTTCATTGTCTTCATCATTCATTTCTTGATCTACTCCACCTACAAAAGAGGATAAGTAAAGTTATTACCAAAATGAACCTTGCGCAGATAAATAAATAACTAAATACAAAAGAAGTGAACCATATATATATATATATATATATATCAACTTAAAGACTCAAAAGTAGAGTCTCAAAATCTATGTTCATATAAACCAATCTCTGAGGGGAAACCTGCATCATCAACCACAACCCATAAAAAAAATGCAGTCAGATCTAAATTCTTCAACTCATTCCCTTCCGGAGAGCACCATCCCACATCCAAACAATCCCACACACAACTTCAGAGCATGTATTCATGTTATGCACACATGTAACGGACTAGGGAAATCAAAACAAGTCTGCCTAGTTAATATGCGCAACCAAAGAAAAGAGCATTACAAATGGTTAGTCAGTTAGTGTAGTAAAGAACAATGGCATTTAATGGAACAAGGATCAGATCCCAATCTATCATTGATCCTCAAGGGAAAAAAAATAGAAAAGAAAAACAAATATGGAACAGAGACTGCATCATCAAGAAGAGAGAGGAGTTTCCGTCGATATAAATATCCTTTAATGTGTGAAAGCGTATCACCCTTGCTACTACTCAGCACATAAAGTCAGCCGAATGTGTTTACAACGGTCCTAAGAGGCAGCTAACTTCAGAATATTTGTTGAGACATTTAGCTTATATTGACTCTAATTGCTATGAACAGGCAAAGATTCAATAATTCCTATGATTTCAGTACTATAAATCTATCCTATTAGCAGAAATCTTAAGGGATTCAATGGATTAAACTTCAAGTTTAACTAGAGACTACATGTACTTAACTGATCCACACAGCCAAATTAAGTTTAAGTATTAAAGAGTTCCTTTAGTTCCTAGATGCCATATCTCAAACCAAAGGTATATCTCCTAGTATGTGCCAGGTAAAATGTTTTTGAGAGAACACAAAACTAAAAGCACCAAAATAAGGAAAGTAGCACGCAGACAAAGATTTTAAAGAGTTCTTATATCAACTCAGCAGTGATTGATGTTATATGCAAAATAGCTTTAAAANACAACAACAATAGCATGACAGGTAGCACATCTCATCAGGAAGATCAAAGACCTAGGAGTTCATGAGAACTTTGTCTTTCAGCATTGCTACAGAGAATTCAATTCCATAACTTTGTCTTAAGCATCAACCTGTCTATCTTTTCCAATTTAAATTCTCAAAGTTCTACTATCATAGAACTGTCAGTATTACTCGGGTATTTACTATACATACGAGACCACTTGGCACTTAAGAAATCATATACTCCTACTAAATAGAAAAAGGATATTACCATATCCACTCTGCCTTGAACCAAAGAAAAATCCTAAGCAAGAAAGGAGGAGAACAAGAAATAGAAGAAATGTATAACATTTGGTACTGACCTTGAGTGTTACTACCAGCAGATGGTCGACTGTTTAGTTGAACAGCAGCTTGTTGTGCAGAGGAAACATCTACAGGTGAACATGCACTGAACCTTAACATGTCAGGATCAAGTCGCAAATTTGGGTTCAGACGCTGAAGTCGTGCGATGACGTTCATTGTAATATTTTGTTCCATAGCATCCTTTTGTTCGTTCAACTTTTCATGCATTCTTTGTTCCATCCTCTCTTACATTTCCTCTATTTTCTGCTGCATCCTCTCATCAACATCTAAAGAAGATCCAAGATTCCCTTTTTTCCCTTTTAACAAAGTCTTGGTAACCCCTCGTCCGTACAATCTCACGCGACGTGGATGTTCAGGTCCCATTACGGATGCAAACGCGTCAACTGAATGACTGCCATCTTCACTTTCCTGAGTGGATTGTATTCTCTCCATTTCAGCCTACAAACCAAATGCGAGAGAAAAGATTTTTAAGTAACTGAAATTGAATCAATAATTAAGAACAAATAAATAATCACGACAAACTTTAAATTAGAAATTTCGTACAATTTTACTAATTGTATTGTCATATGAGCTTTTGTATACTCGACCAAGTTTTCTTTTTCTTGTAGCCACAAAGATGTCCTTACTTGACAGAGTATCTGAAGTATCAGAGATTTCCTTCTTTTTTTCCTAGTTACATGAAAAAGGTATAAGAATCTTTTCATATAAAGTTAGCAAGTTCATAATCCAAAAAAAATTAAGAAAGATAAAACATCAAACCTCGCGAATTAGAGCAAAAGGTGTTCTGCCAGTAGTGTGCGGACACTTCAACCTATTTCGATTCTCTGTATTGGTTTTGGACATTTTCTGCAAATAAACGAGTTAACCACTGAAGTAACTAAAACAATTAATCAACAACCATGTCAAAGGACCAGCACTCTTCCATCTTGAAGACCCACAAATAGAACAATTATCGGCATTCACATTTTCTTTCCAAAATAACATGCAATCATTAGGGCAT